AAGGTGGGGGGACACTATGAACAGACTGGCTCCAGAGAGCTGTCTTTGCTCTCTCCCTGCCGAGAAAACAATCCAGCCGGTGCTCATTAGCAGCTGGAGTTTTATTACCACAACAGTGAAGCCTGTTTAATGAACCCTCGATGAGAACATGCATCCTGCTCCCCTGTTTAAGTCGAGAGGTACGAGGTGACGTGCCCCCCTGGAGCACTTTAAGTGCTCTTATTGCACATTCCAATGTGGGAACCACAAATATCCTCACTCCGAGCACAGATGAGTGTCCAATGAGACTTTGCAGCGTACAAAGGTAAACTGTTGAAAACCTAGTCCTTTAAAATGACATCTGGCTGTTTTGATTGTTGATGTTACTGTTGGCACAGTACAACATTAATGATTTGACTAAACGAGCTAAAGCTTCTTTAGGACAGATTAAAACACTTTTGCATCAAACAAAGAAAAATAAAGACTGCATGAGAAAATGTATCCAATAGAAACCAGACAGAATCACAGCTTCAATACAGCCAAAAAATAAATCATAGTCCATTTGTCACTGCTGTAGCAAAGTCACCCCTTTCCCTTATGGTGAATGAAGGGTGGCTTTCTACCATCGAGCAGGTTACAATGGGTCTTGATTATACAATAGGCCTGGAGTCTTTATGAATGGTACAAAAATCACAGTCAGTTGGTAATACTGCTGTTTGCATTTCTGACAGACTGCATTGAACTACACATGAAGAGCAATCTTCTGAGTCTTCCTGTCTGACTTTGTCAGTACAGAAATATACCAAAGAAATTAAACTATTCTCTACTGTTTTAGCTGTGTGCAAATTCAAATGTGAGTAAAATGTGTCAAAAGTGACATCATGGTTTTAAAAAATGTGTAGTCATATTTCTGACATGCAGCTTCCTGCCACCTGTGCTGTCAGATGTTGCATCATATTACTTCTCCTTGATGACATGTTTTTCCAATCTGGAGTTAATGTGTGCACTGTGTGATATCATTGCTATGTAACTTTTTTAACTGTTATTTCTTCAAATTAAAGTCAAATTAAAGTGTGCCATGAAACAAAACTGTAGCACAAATGGTAACATGGTCACTGAAAGGTGTTAACAAATGAGTGGTAATGAGTCTAACTACTTAGTAACAGCAGAGAAGTGAAAGCCATACTACACCATAGTTTCAGCATTGACAAGATAATCAGTACATGATGAAACAGGTGGTAAGAGCTTGGCCCCTTGCCCGGGAGTTGTAACATGGGGGGGTTATGAGAGAGCGACATAATTGTGCGAGAGGACTGGACCTGAGGTTCAGTCGTGAATGACAGGGACAGAGGTCTGTGACCACAGCTGAAACAATTTCGACAGGCGAACTTTTGGCCATGTGCTCATGCACGCAAACACACACATATACATAAACAAACATAGATGTACTTGTGGACACAGATGAAATAAGAGTACACATTGCATAGACACACATGCATAAGAAACTCTATCCTTCCTCAAAGACGTGCAATGTGAGAGGACACCTCTGCAGGTCAAACGCATGTTCCCTTTCTTAGCCTACAGCCCGTCTTGAATGTCCACAACAGTGATCAGTGGAGGCTGAAAGTGCAAAAAAAACAAAACTAATACAAACAAACTCCACATGCAAGCTCAAATCGTATCTGTGGATTACCGTAATGAAACACAAAAAAAATGATCCTGCGTAGTTTTTACAAAAAGGCTTTACCAATAAAAGACAAACCAGGTGTGCACTGCTTAAAATACAACAAGAAGCCTGACTTTGCACAGTGTGTGACTATTTGATGCATGTTTTTTTGGAGTTCAAGAAAAGGCATCCTTCAGCACAACACCCAACAAAAAGCCTCTTTACAACTCCTCAGGCCTCACTTTATTCAGAGCCTGAAGGTCACACAGTTCTCATGCTGCAACATTTTCCGTCTCTGATTCTTCTGTCACTGTATCAACATTCCTCACCGATGCCGACCTTGTTACAAAAGCTGCAATGTCGAACAACCATCTTGTCCCGTATCAGCAGTTCACAAAAGAAGACGCATTGTTTACCCTCTTTGAAGCAGAAGATAACAGAGGCGGAAAGATGCTTTCTTTATTGACAAAAGAGCACTGGATATGTCCTTGTCACACTGCCATGTAACGCACATTCATGCAAATTAACCCAGTTACAAATAGAACCCTTATTCTAAATGTGTTCATTTGTCCATGTGGGAGAGAAAAAGAGGCATGGCATGAGTGTCTGTACTCTCGGTTGTGCATGGGGCCTCATCATGCTACAGCTGGGCAATCACAATTAGCAATCATTAGTCTAGAATTTATATAGCACCTAATTGAACATAATAAGTTGAATGAGTTAGCTCATTCCTGGAATTTCTCAGCAGTAAACTTTTTACCTGTTAAATCTAGCTGTAAGAGGAAGAAGATACAAAGATGCTTCAAACTTATTCTCTAGCTTGCAGAAAACATGTACACGGCTGAAATGACACATGTCAGAAGTTGTGTGCCTCTAAACACAGATGGTTTATTACTTCAGTTCTGTGGGAGTCATCATGTCAATGTTTAAGATCATGCACAAGTTACCAAGAAAAGCTGCAAAATAAACTAACATTTCTAAAATGCCTGAAGCTCTTCAAGGAGAGAGTGACTTTGAACTCTTTAGTTTGAGACTAATGAAGTTGGATAGTTTTTCTTTTTTAGTGGTAGCTAAGATATTCTTTGTAGGCTTGATCAGCAGATCAGTCTCATACTTTTGAGATAGCGAGGCTGTTTATATCCCCTGAAGAGTAATTTTAGCCTGGAAAAAAAACTAGAGAAGAGGCTTCTGAGTACAAAAGGTTAAAGCAAAGACAACAACAGTCCTTGTACACAGGTTTCTCTGTTTACATCACCTAAACTACCTGAAACATGATTTAGTTTTTCTTTTATATTAGGGAGGAAGAGCTACAGAAAGACTCAGTGAATTAATATGTTAATGTTTGTATTTTCAGCTTGCTTTAAGGTGATCTTTAAAACAATGGGCTTAATTCACCAACATCTTCATAAGATTTCTCTGACATTTATTCTTGAGAGGATCCTCAAAACGTGTACACACATTCATGATGCTGCTCTTAAACTGCAGAATTCTTCACATCTGTGTTCTTAAATTGATGAATGCCATGTCCTCGCAAGCTGAAAACTCACGTCTGTTGTTCCTAATTAGTATTGAGAGATGCCACTTTAATGCCTGTGTAAGGGCATGAGCCTGCAGGGCTGTGTAACACGGGATAGAAAAGCAAAGTAGTGAGATGTTGGGACTGCCTAAATAAAAATCTTAATCACATGATTTCACACCAAGTATAAGAAATAGTTTAAAGAGAATGAAGTGCCGCCAAAGTGAACCCCAAACAGGCTGATTTAATTTTAGGATATTTAGTAGCGTCAGATGTGTATTCAAAATATACACTACAAACAGATATATGGATGACATCACTCGTCTAGACAGCGCTGTCACCAGAAACAAAATACATCACTCTGTAATCAGAAAAGGACACGGAGCAGATGAAGTGAAATAGTTTTAAAAAGGTAGGGGGTAACCGAAAACAGAGAGATGTTGACCATACTTCATATCTTTCTGAGTAAATAAAAAAAGCTAGCACTGAAATTAAATGATTGAACATGTGATAGATTTGTCATTTAAATACCCGTGTGTGAAAGGGGTTTTGATTGTTGTTAATAACTGTTTGATTTTCACCAGATAAAGATGCTTTCCCAAGTTTGCAGTTTTTAGTTCAACATGTTCCAGCTTCAAACAAACATGATTGTATGATTAAATTAAAGCAGACTACATTTAAATAATACATTTATAGATGTTATTTAATAATATAACTGTGCGAAAGAAAAACACAAGAAAAACACAATAATATCTTAGATATTATTCCTCGTAGCTTTGAACAAATCACAGATAAGAACACTTTAGTTAATGTCAGAAACTTCTTGAGAACTGCACCAGTACAGATTTCTTCTTGGATGGTGAATGAAGCCCAGTGTTCCATGACTTTATAACAACTCTGATTATCGAGATACATTTCTCTTAAAGGAAATCCTAACCAGTTTCTTCATCACTTGTTGAATTAAATAGCCAATACAATTAGTTTTTTCACAGTGCCAGCACACCAGCTGTCATGAGATAACATTTATCTGGCGTCTGCAATCTGCCGGTAGCCCGCTCTGAGCCGAGGCAGCGCTGTGTGCCAGCTGAATGTCAGACACACCCTCGTGGATTGGTATGTAACAGTCAACAGTGACTGTGCTGCGCTACTACTGTCTGCGTATGTGAGCCATGTCCAGTCAGAGGGCACTACTTTCTGTGTTGTCTTTTGCTAAAGATATCATCCTACAACTCCACTTAAGCCTATGGCAGGAATTTGAGCCTGCACTGCTCTGCTGGAAACCAAAACAGACCACTTAGTGGAACATTACCCCAACACAAACAAACACACAACGCCCAACACAGCAGAGAATAGTTAGCAATAACACTAAAAGCACACCTCCTGGAAATGTGGAAACACAAAAAACACTCATAACATGTCCAATTACTGGGACATTTAAGATTTTGTCTTCATTACATTTACATGAAACAAATCCAGAGCTTTGGGCAGACAATGTATCCAACTGGCTCCTCTGTAATCCAAACACACACTTTAAAATAAACATGGCACTGTTGTGTGTTTGTATAAGAGGTTACTCGAAGGAACACTGCTGAAATGACCTCATTCTAGCATGGATCATTCATGCAGGAACTCATGTTATCCTTAGGTTACACAGACCTTTTCCTGACCGCATTGACACAACCTACATCACGCTATGAAGAGTGATCACAGTATGAATAAGAAGTTATGAATTCAAGCAGACAACTTTTATGTTTCGCATTCTTTCGCCTGTTTTTTTTTTTAGGTTACTCCAAAAACATAAACATTTAACCAGACGAGGGAATGTAAAGCAAAACTCACCATTGTGGGAGGACTCCTTGTTGTCAGCCACCTTCCTCAGCGCTGACACGATGGCATCGGAGGGAACGCGAGGACTCTCAACATATTTAGGCTTCCTGACTGGACCTGCTAACACGAATCGAAGATGCAGGGAGAGAGAGTGAGAGAGAGAGAGAGAGAGAGAGAGAGAGAGAGAGAGAGAGAGAGAGAGAGAGAAAGAAATGCAAAAGAGGAGAAAAAGGGGAGAAACAGAGAGAGAGAGAGAGTTCTTGCTGGATTAACGTGTTCCAGATGGGACTAGAGATGAGAGGCGCTGGTGTCTTAGTTGGACAGGCTTGGCTGCACTCTGTAGCTCACATAAACCCACTGGCACACACAAACACACACTCTCTCAGGCAACTCTCTGCGCTGATAGCAGCTCCGTTCTGTCTGACAACCCAGAATATTGTCTGCATGGCTGGAGACTCCCAGTAAAACGTAGCTCACCGGCTCTGGGAATGTAAACTGGAGGAAGCAGGAAACAATGACAATTAGCCCCTTTTTGAACTTCAGAAAAGAGTGTTAAACCCTCAAATAAACAAACGGCTTCATGAAGTCCAGGCGTCCTTGTGTAAGTCAGATGATGAATCTGGGACAGCGGTAGAGTCCTCTGAGGACCGCCTTTATGCCTTTAGTAAGGAGTCGAGGTTAGCTGGCTGCTCTGTTCCTTCTGCTCACCCTGTGACAGAATTAGAAAATCCCACAGCGACGAGCAGAATGCTTGCTCACTGCACTGAACTTTATCACATACTCAGCCTTCTATAGTGCAACATTTATTTTCCCCTGTTGTCTCCACCATTCTATAAAACTGCCTCTTATCTGCCTTAAGTAGTACAAGCAAAAAGTTTCATTGAGTGGTAGCAAAAGCCTGCTAATCTTCCCCTAGAGTGGCAATATCATTGTTTATATCTGCAGGAGATCCAGCAAAGCCACTAGACTAAATACTAAGCCCTGGGACAAACATCTCCCAAGAAACTTTGCTGTGCACATTTTGAGTTCTCTTCTTCAATCCCACAGTTGCTTGTGTAATAAAGAAATAAATCCCAGAGTCAGAAACAATAGAAAAAATGAAACTGCAGGAAATGGCATAAAAACAGGATGTCACTGTATAATTTAGGTCCATAAATCCACAGAGAATGGCAACAACATGCCTCCTGTTCCACCATTCCTACAAGCATATCCAAAATGACCTACTGTAACCCAGTCCAGACCTCCTCCTCCTTCAGACCCCTGTTATCAGATGACTGTATGTGTAACCCCAGTCATAACATAAAGATTAGATGGGGGAGCGGAGATAGCCATTTCCTATTACCACATTTGATAACTAGTCACTCCCACCCCAAGAGAGGAAAAAATCCCTTAATCAGATTGAGCATTTTGTTTTGCAACCACAGCTGTTATATCTTGGTTACAGATACAAATAGTGGAGGTTATGGAGGGGGTACAGGGGGGAGTTTGAGCAGCAGCTATGCTCGAGGAAATGATCTGGAAATGTCATTGCAACAAACCTAAGCCAGCTTGACGCACAGTGCCATCTATGGATATGCAAGCTGAAATGCATTGTGAGGAACATTGCTTTTGATACCTGCAGACATCTTCTGTATCTGTAATTAGACAGTTTTCCTGTATGCTAGCAATCATTATTTATATGCAAGTAAAGAACTTCAAGTAAAAATCCCAAAGTCATATGTAGCTGTCAGTCAGAGGAGCAGGGAACCAGAAGACTTTGTGAAAAAAAGTTTACAGCTAATGATGATGCAAACAATAAGTAAAAACATCTTAGAATGGGTTTTGATCTCATGTGAGATTTGTATGTATTGATAAGATCTCAACCAGAAGGGAGGTGATTCAGAGAAGCCTCTACAAAAGCTGAAGTCTGCATTCAGCTGTGGATGGTCAGGCAGAACCTATTAACCAGGAGTCACGCGGCACCAATTAAAGCAGAACTACAGAGACAGAGAGGGCTCTGTGGGATACACACTTAGTTCAGGTAAATATCTTGGACCAAAAGTGCACCACCAAATATGTTCCATTAGAGTGTATTCATCTAAACACAACGGGGGGGGGGGGGGTGGCTAAAGTAATTTAAACCGTATGCTGAAGTTCAGATTCGGTTTACACAGAGGGCCAAGAGGAACACAGGATCCACGCATAAAATAGAAAACATGAGGCAAGCTATCAAGCGTAATTTTGGGCCACATCTGAGGGCTGATAATACAGGGAAAGAGTCCTTCTGCAAGACTCTGATGTCAGTGTCAGCACATGACAGACGAAGCCATGCAGGGGTTTCTTTGCCATTCAAAATCTCATCTCAAGATTTAACAGGGTGTCATTACCGCCATGGCCTTCAAGATGGAAGCACTGAGGAACGAGCAATTGCAGTTTATAACAGGCATGAAAAGGTCGCAGAGATGAAAGTGGCTGACATGTGACCCTTGAAGGACGATGTTAGAGAGAGAGAGAGAGAGAGAGAGAGAGGGAAGAAATGTGTTCTTACTTTGATCACACTTTGAAGGCAGTATCCTGAATGTGGATCCATTCACAAGAATGATCATTTGTAAACAATTAGCAATTAAGCAAAGCAATTAAATGTGTGCAAAATTATCACCAAGTCTGATGTGAGGAGAGAATGTTGGGCTTTTCCACAAAAAATCATCAACATAGTATCAAAGACATCTCCACATTTTATCTCACAGCCACACTCAACCAATTAAAATGCATTAAGTCCCACCATCGTGGACATACCCCATGCAGAGAGGACAATGAGAAATATCTTTGCAACATTCAGCACTTCATCCTTCATTTATTATATCAGTTTTAGTTTATGTTTGCTTTATTTTTATATCTTTTGCTATGTTAAAATGAGGTAAACTATTAAATCCGATGTGTGATGAGAGTCAAATAGTTTAGAAGACGTAAAAAATGCCATATCAAGTTTCAGTTTACTAATTTGCAGATTACCTTCTCCCTTACTTCATGTTATTCAAGCAGAAAACACCAGTGTCTGACTCATTATGTAGCTTTAACATGTGTTAATGTGTATCAAAGAAAATAGTACACATTTATAGATAAGGTCAGAAAGCAAACAAAGTGAAGGTAGAGGGAAAAAAAACAGACCAAAAAGCATCTCTGGGGTAAAGTAGCCAGGCAAGCTGTGACTGCAAAGGACTCTTTACTCACAGATATTCACAGCGAGCTTCAGGAATCCATGACCAGCGAACCATCAATCAACACACACACGCACGCACGCACGCACGCACGCACACACGCACACGCACACACACACACACACACACACACACACCAAGAATACCTAGAACCAAAAACTTACAGCGTACAGTCAAAGCTAGAGAAAGAGAGGATTGTTCATGGTTGAGTAGTGATCAAGGAGATTTCCCAGCATTCTTCATGGTGGACTCTGACTTCTTCACATTTAAACTTTTCAATAAGACAGTGTGTCTGCTTTGTGCAGCAAAGAGTCTGAAAGCAGTCTCACAACAGCCCCCATTATGATCCAACATGCCCTTCTTCAACTCAAAAGGGAAAAATAATATATTCTGGCAAAAAAAGAAAAAATTGCAGCATGTCAATACTCAGTAATTCTTGATTTCCAATGGGCATTATGTTCGGGTGCAGACCCACATGTCCCTGGATCCTTAAAACATTGTAACCAAACAATGAAACCTGTGACATCACAGGCTGCTAGGAAGCTAGTTCTAAAGACCAATCTGTACTGATTCCATCTCATTATAATACATACTTAGTTTCTGTATATGACACAAACTAATCGGTGTGAATCACAAGTTTCATCTTCTTAAGAAATATCCACTATCTGGACAACGATACAATCACTGCTGACACACAAAGTCTGCCATGATGTGATGTGAATTACCGTATTTTCCGCACTATAAGGCACACCGGATTATAAGGCGCACCTTCAATGAATGGCCTATTTTAGAACTGTTTTCATATATAGGGCGCACCGGATTATAAGGCGCATAGAATAGAACGTGTTTACAACTGAACAAGGCTGGGAGATATTGTGAATATATAAATATAAATACGTATAAAACGTAACGTATAAAACTACAAAAACAAAAGTACATAAGACGATTTCCCCAAATGATAAATTATTTCTTTGACGTTTCTCTTAACTCTCAAAACGTAGTTTTATACGTAGTGCATTCACAATAACTCAACGTTGTTCAAACGTTAATGTGCATATTCACAATATCTCCCAGCCTTGTTCAGTTGTAAACACGTAAAAGAAACACAGTCTGATACCGTTAATTCAAACGTTAGTGCAGGGGTGCCCAAACAGTCGATCGTGATCGACAGGTAGATCGCTGACTGATTCTCAGTCGATCGCGAGATGTTTTGTCAATATAAAATACAATTGTAAAACACACGCACTGGAGCGCCAGCCACCACGCAAACCTTTTTACTTTTTACTTTTAGTGCTACAGCACACAGTGGATCCGTGATCCGTACGGACCGAGGTGGGAACACACGTGACCCGGTCAAACAGTCGGTTGGACTTTACTCCATTCACTCTCACCGTGTCTGCAGCTAATTTAACAAAAGCAAAATCATCTCACAGCAGCCTGCTGTAGTCTGTAGTCTGCATTATTTTTTACAGAACTCTCATTTATTATTTTCTGTTTGTTATGTGAGTATTAAATGCGTTTGTAGGCTGTTGGTAAAGGCTATGGCTCACTATGTGGACTGGTAGATCTCGGCAGACTGGTAACTTTAAAAGTAGATCTTGGTTCAAAAAAGGTTGGGCACCCCTGCGTTACTGCATAACTCAACATTGTTCAGTTACGTATAACACGTAAAGCTCACTTTTTCAGTTCATTCCCCGTCCACGAATCCCTCGAATTCTTCTTCTTCAGTGTCCGAATTGAACAGTTGGGCGAGTACGGCATCCAACATGCCCGGCTCCCTCTCGTCATTATCCGAGTCAGTGTCGCTGAGCGCCGTGTACAACCAGTATGGATCAACCAATTAACCAATTGATCCATATATAAGGCGCTCCGGATTATAAGGCGCACTGTCGTTTTTTTAGAAAATTAAAGGCTTTTAAG